CTCTCTAGCTGGTGATGATGGACCGCCCCCCGTTCTTCTGTAACAGACGCACGAGCCTACTGCAGGTACTTTTGTGTAACCACCACAAAAAACTATTCCACCTCCAACTCTAGTATACCTTTTTCTTGCTACGTGTGCGTGTTCTTTCGATCCTCAGATGGCTCTAGCACTTTCGTGACCACGGGCCGAGAGTCTTGCTAGATTTTGGCATTTAGCAACTGGCATACGGTTTAATGTGAAGTCAACAACAACAACAACAACCCTCAAGACCCACCCTCAGGGTGGGTCTTATCAACAAAAGTGCAGCATCAAAAATCGAGAAAATAAAACAAAAATGCCGCTGATTGGCTCTTCGCCACAGATTCCGCCGCCGAACCTTCAAGACAGATGACAGATGGTATTGTTGAACAATATTGTTCCGAAAGTTCTTCGAAATGGCAAAATAAAAAAAAAGCAGCGAATAGACTGAAAACGCGGCTTAAATATGAACATAAGACCACTAGGTGGCAGGAGACGCTTGTCCTCCCACAATCCACGCAACATCTTCATGAGCGATAACGGAGGCGCCAACGCAGACAGCAGCGCAGTAGGCGCAGTAGGCGCCACGGGCGTGGCGGGACGCTATTTTTTGCCCCGGCAGTCGCCCCCCCCAAGCAGGCTGTTGGCGGGAGTGCACACGCAAACATGATGACTCCCCCGGCGCCACCACAGCATCTCTCGCACATTCCGCCCCAGCAGCAGCAGCAGCAGCAGTACGTTGGCATCGCTGCTGCCGCTGCGGCCGCCGCTGCTGCTGCTGCGGGTTCTCCGGCGTCGGCTCCGCCAGCGTTTTTCCCTGGATCTGCTGGATTTCCCCCAGCGCGCGGATTGTCCATCCCTCAGGTGGCCCACTCCAGCATGCTTGCAGGATGGAACACACCGCCCCCGTCTCCGCAATGGTCGGGGCCGGGAAAGCTGCCGGCGCCCGCGCCAGGGCCAGAATGGCTACCGAAGCTCGTGCCAGGGCCGGAATCGCCGACGGCACTCGCGCCAGGGGCGGGATCGCCACCAGCCTTCCCGCCAGGGCCGGGATTGCTGCCGACCCTCGCGCCAGGGCCAGGATCGTCCGTGCAACTCTTACCTACGCCCCCAACATTACCGCCCAATACCATCCGGGAGGAGCAGCCGAACTATGCCGACTGGTTGCTCCCGGCATGTCAATCGGAGATGAAGAGGCGAGCGGAGGCAGCGGGCCACAAGGGAGTCTTTCGGTACGGTGATGGGGTCGACGAGATCAACACGTCGATTTCGAGCGTGGAGAAGCCAGAAGCTGTAAAGCTTCTCCTGGCCCAGGACGCGTGGCGTGTATCCAAAGATCTCGACCCTGATTGGAAGCAAGCTCCGCAGGACACCACGCAAGCGAAGAGGGTGGCGAAGGAAGCGAAGGCGAAGCTTGCTGCCGAGGAGGAAGAGCGTAGGAGGAGATGCCGTTCCAGCGGGGATGCGGCAAGGTTTTGCTTCATCATGTTCTCGGACGAGATGTACGAGAAGGTCACCACCAGCGAACTGGCGCCCACGGATGGAAACAAGCGCGACAACCATGCCATTGGGGTGAACAATCCAGACGGGGTTTGGGATGAAATCGTTGACCACTTCGTAGACGAAAATTTGAGGCTCGGTGGGTTACGCGCTGGCAACCCCAAATCACACGACGGCAGCACTGTACCCGGAGTGCCTAAGATGTGGGAGGCGCTTCAATCGCTCGACTATGACGATCCAGCGAAAAAATGAGTGTTGTGATTTCGTTGGTACGTCGCACATTTGAGACATACATGTTGTGCTGGTGGTCCGCTTATTTTCCATTTAAGGGCAGGTGCCCGGGGAGTTGCGGCTGTTTCTCTCTCCTTTCCCCCGCGGAACGCAGCTATTGTTTGACTTGCTTTGAAAATGGGCCTCGCAGGTTAACAGCAGGCACCAGCTGCCAGTTCTTAATTTTTGCCACTTTTATCATTATCAATTACGGGAGCGCTGGTTTCTTGGCTAATGGTGCAGTGCCTTCTGTGGAATCGTCGTTCGAATGTCTCGCTATTGTTTTCAGGTGGAGGGAAGAATGGACGTTCAAGGAAGGGTCACGGAAGGGAGACCTGGACAAGGCTCGCGCCCGCGAGAAGGTGAAAGGCTGGTGGACGGACATGCGTGCGGAGTTTAGGGTGAGTTTCGGACAACGGTCCACGGCGGGTGAAGGATTTGGTCTTCTCCGATTCCCGTTAGAACTATTTGCGCAAGAGGCCCACCTCCGTGTTTCGACTGGTATTTTGTTGGTAGCGACCTTCGTCGGGGACGCATTGATTTTCTACTGCGGTGGATGTTGGGTTAAAAAAACAATAAAACCCGCCCCGTCCAGACGACCGTCTACCCTCCAGTGTCCCATCCCCTGGTCTGTTTTTTTTGTTCGGGTGCGGCGGGTGGGTTTAGCATTCCTGCTTGCCGGGTGCTGTTGTTACAGAACGAAAGCCCACCCCCCGTCTTGTTTGTTTTTTTTAAAATATATTTGTCTGCAGTAGTGGTAGTTGGTCGACAAACCGGCTCCGTCCAGACGACCGTCTGCCCTCCTCTGCTCCGTCCTCAGGTCGATTTTTTTATGGGGAGGGGGTGGAACGGGCTCAACGGGCATATGTGTCGGGTGCTATTTCAGTCCAGTAGCACACGACGCCTCCAGTTATTATTTTCATATTTTTTCGGTCATACGCACGCAGCGGTGCTTTACTTTTCGAAACATTCGCTCCTTCCTGGTTTGTTTTGACGTCGGGTGCGGGCACACGTGTCGCGTGCTTGATTCATCGGTACCTTTCTGACATAGTCCCTTCACGTACGTTGTGTGCTGTGTGAACGTTGTTAACGTAGGCGTCGCCTATCGCTGGTGGTGTCTAGAACGCGTTTGGTCTCCGTTGGGGAAAGTTGGGACGGTCAGAAATTGCTTTTCCCGAAACCCAACTCCTTACATATTTCGTGACCCCTCTTGTCATGCCATCTCATGTAAACGTGCCGTGCTTGTTTTCCAGGACGCTAAGAAGAAGAAAGAGAAGAGTGGGAACAACGCTGAACACTACTGGTCCTTCTGTAACCAGAAGCTGTACGTCCTGCTCATGATGGACTGGTACGAGCTGAGGGGTGGCGACAGCGCGAACGAGCACTGCGCAAGGTACTTCAGCGTGAGGCTCAGCGAGGAGGATGGGGAAGCTTTCAACACTCTGTCCATGGAAGACGAGCAGTCTTCCAGCGATTCGGATGAACCGCCCGCTCCGAAGGGGAAGCCGCGAGCGCGGAAGGCGAGGGAGAAGGGGAAGGTCAAACCGGAAGAAACCTTGGTCCAACTTGTGGACGCATTCAAGACCACATCAAACAACATTGCAGCGGCGATGAACAAGATTGCGGACAACGACGCCGAGAATCCCGTGGGTACGTTGATTGCTGCCAGCGATCGCCTTGATGACTGTGACGAGAGGTTGAAAAATGCGAAAGAAGAAGGAGCGTCCAAAAGAAAAATTGAAAGGCTCACTCAAAACCTCGCAGTAGCGCAGGAGGAGTACGACAAAATCTACAAAAAGACCAGGCCTGCTGCAGAGAAAGCGGCGGAGGAAGAGGAAGAAGATGAGGAAGGGAGTGAAGTTTCGTAGCGATTTGTCGTGAAGGCCCTTCGGACGAATCAAACCCGACTTCTTCCAACGACGCATGAAGAGGATGTCTTGTCGTTTCGGGTTTGATTCACACGGCATAGGTTGGGTACATGCATTTTTCTGAGTATGGCTAGTGTTTTTTTTCCGTTGTGTGCAGCACGAAGGTAAGGCACTGCTCGTATGTTCCTTGAGTGTGGAGGGCGCATTGCTTGATCCACCCCTCCAGCATGTTTTTCTTCTTTCGGTTTCCGCGGGGGAACATGAGAATTTCGTTTTTCAGTGAGGGACCAAAGTGTCTCTATCGCGCGTTATGTGCAGGCGTTTGTGGCTGCCGGAGAGCTGAGCCCAGAGGCCAGAGACATTGGTTCGGAGGGTATTTCATTTT